AGCACAATGTCAACATCGAAATGATTTCACAGGGTATGCAGTGTTCCTCTCGTCTCCTTTGCTTTTCTTCTTGATTTTTTCCCCCTTTTTTTCTTTTTTCTTTTTTTTGCTGTACAACCTCCGTATTTCAATCCCCCTTTCAGGAACGTGCTAATATTCCTTTTTTGGTTTCAAAATTTCAGGTGCGAGCGAAATCAACATATCGTGCGTCATCGAAGAGAGAGATGCAGACCGCGCCCTCAACATCCTCCATACAAACCTCTTTACTTTCCTTGATTGATTGATCAACTTCAACAGCAATTAACGACCACGAGACTCTGCCCCATTGATTGTTACGACATTTTATGAAACAGTTGAATATGGGGAAGAACTACAAAACAAAAAAAAAAATGAAAATAAAATAAACAAGCAAGACACATCTTCGAACCGAAAGATAATAAAAAACAAAAAGCGTTGTAGCAATTTGGCCGAGAATGATGAAACAAATAAGCACTCCAACGTGAGATTCAATTACATACCCTACCTAGGGTTATGTGTAGAGAATTATAAAGTTTTGGGTCTGTTCCGATTCCAACAACCGGATTTTATACAGGCCGGAATATCCACAAATGGTTTACAGAGATTGCCTTGTTGTTTTTTTCCCTTTTCCGGATGATGGAGGGTTTAAGAAGCGCTAAAGGTGCTTCTTTGCAGCAGTGGGACTCATGGGGTATGGAATGACAGGCGCATGCATCGCATGGAGATATTCATTGCGGCGTGAAAGTTTTTTTGAGATGACTTAGAGGGCGGGCAGGAGATAGAAAGACAGGTGGGGAGAAGAGAGCAAGGGCAGAATTAGCACACTATGAACTTCAACACTAATTCTAGATAGACGTCTTGAGACTTGTCAGATCGATCGTCTAAGTCATCTTAACCAATTTCTTTTTTCTGGTTTTATGCTTTTTTGTTTCTCCCTTCTTTCTTTAGACGGGATTGGTCATTTGTTCCCTGATCTCTACTCATTACTCATTATATCCACCACTCCGATATGCCAAAGGCCCACTCTGCCTTCCCCACCGCTGATGAAAAATTGGAGGATACAACATGTCCAGTGTTGTGTCTTCCCTTGTTGATCTGGATGATTTCAGCCGATGCGATTTGAAGATACATAGTTCACATGCAGGGTCCACTGTGCTTTGGCAGGGGGATTATTGGGTGATGGTTGTTGCGGGAGACATGCACCGCTTGTGTTCACCCACAGCACACTGGCGGAGAAATGAAAATCTACACCAATGAGTGATCAACATATGGTTGTTTCCATCCCCTCTCCAGCCATTCCTCTGCTTTTATCGTTCGTTTTCAAATCCTCGGAATGAAGAAGAAAGGAATTGGATTGGGCGGGATTCCATTTTCGGGCTCTGGGCGCTCAGAGACTCGCTTAAGTGTTTTCCGCTGAGCAAGTAATAGAGAGTGAGTGAGTGGTGGGAGGGCGGACTGTGAGAACGGAGGAGGAGATCGCATCTTGTCGTGCGGGTATTCCTCCAACATGATTTTCCCCCCCTCTTCTACTTCTCTTCATCTGTTGTGTACACACATAGATCACTTACGCCAAAATCTATTATAGAAAGTTACTTAATGATTAAATTAAGTAATCTCTATTTGCACGACTAACTAACTAGTTAACTAACTACCTCAGAAGCTTACAAAGTGAACAGGAAAAATAAAATGGATCCTACAATTTTCCTTTCTTTAAAAGAAAGAAAGATAGAAAGATAAAATCCCATTAGTCGCAACCAACCAGCACCCAGCGTTTCGGATTTCCCGCATGAAAAGTATATGATTGGCGAGGAACGGAGATGCCACCTGTAGGATTGGGATTTTGGCCAGGACTCGCAAGAGAAGTTGGCCGGCGGCTGCTGCAGTTGCACGCTCGCTTCCTCGTGCCACGGTCCAACGACCAGGCAGCCCAAGAGACCAACTACGAGCTCCCCAACTGCAGGGATCTGGTCTGTGGAAGAAGTTTCACCAGTTAGTAGTCCCCAAGAAGGTTTTCCGCTTAGCCGGTGGGACTGTCGAAGTGGATCATCAGCGTCATCAGCGGAGCGAAACATCTGGATCCTGCCAAATCCTGTTGTGCTAGTTTAGTCGATGTGAGTTGGCAGACTGGGTCAGGTTAGTTCGTCGTGACTCTGACTCGCATGTTCTGGGCCGGCGACAGGGCAGAAGGGCGGAAGGGCGGGCAGTTGGGCTGTGCCTGTAGGTATCGAATACCATCCGGTACGCATAACACATATATATACACACACTTGTAATGTTAACTTATAGTTATACATCGGCTTTCTTGTGGGGATTGGATAATAGTTCCGCATGCAGAGAGCTATTATTATTATTATTGTTGTTATTCTTCTTCTTCTTCTTCTTCTTCTTCTGCTTCTTCTGCTTCTTCTGCTTCTTCTGCTTCTTCTGCTTCTTCTGCTTCTACTGCTTCTACTGCTTGCTTCTTCTGTTCTATCCAGTTGATTCCTCTCCGGGGAGATGACTGGGGGATATGCCAACTATTGAGAAGTGAGGGATATATACTCTACATCTACGTTCTATTCCTAGCACTGTTCTGTTTCTGGCTTGGTCTGCTTAACGTTTTCGGCATGGGCAAGGGCGGGCCGAGTTTGGCTGAATGACAGAACGTACACATGAGGTACCTTAGGCAGGTAGGCATATATATACCTGGTTACTCTGCCTGGAGCTGTTCAACCGTAGACTGTGGAGCTCTGGCATTTTGGAACTGCGGGATAATATCATATCGTATCGTATTGTACACCTAACCTAATCATCGCCGAGTGGATTCTCCGTAACATACAGTACAGAAAGCGGCATACTTTATACATTATATAGTTAGTACCTTGAAAGGGCGTGCCGCCGTTCATCAATAATGCACGCTGCCTTGGCGCTTGTGCCGTTGCATTTCCTTATATGTACTGTCCGTACATGTATTTTTACCCTGCTCCTTCCCCTTCCCGTTCCCGACTCTTCTCCCTTAGCCCTCTGAACATCTCCAACATCTCCAACCTCTCCAACCTCAACATCTTCATCTCCTCATCATCTCCATCTCCCCATCTCCATCTCCCTCCCCCATTTCATCTTCCTACGGGTTTTTTTTTTTTTTTTTTTTTCTTCCCTTTTCCTTTTTTTTCTTTTTTGTACAAAAGAAAATCCCGAAATCCCCTTCAACTATCCCTCTAGGTTGTTGTGCTCAAGTGTCCCCCGCCCGCGCATCAGGTGAAGTGTGTCGTCAACAACTACTACTCCCGGTTGTTATCAGCCTCGCTTATCTGACTTGGGCCAGTTCTGCCCTTGGCCTCAGGCGCCTTCCCCTGCCGCCTTATCCGCCTTGTTCGCCCTCTTCCCCTCA